GAAAGAACACAATTTTCTGCATTCCTCGATCTGGCTAGGGAGTGCAGGGGACAGACAAACCTAGGACCAGCCTGCCTGCAGCTAGGTGGTCCGAAGGGCCTACTGGGGATCAGATGGGCTGGTGTTCAGGGCTGGCCAGCAGCCCAGGGGTTGGGCCAGCACATGGGGCTGGCTCGCAGCCGAGGGGTTTGGTTGGATGGTTTGGCGTTTGGGGTTGGCTAGTGGGCCAAGGTCAGGCTGGCACTCAGGGCTGGAAGGTGGCCCAGGGGTCTGGCTGGTGCTTGGGGGGCCAGCCTGCAGCCTGGGATGGTTTAGCTGGGCTTCTCTGGCAGCCTGGGAGGGGTGTGGGGGGGCTCTAGCAGATGAGGGGGGTAGAAGGGATGCAGTGGAGCCTTGGTCTCAAGGGGTAGGGCTAGGGGAGAGCCTCCCTGAAGGGGCGTGCCTCCCTGAAGTGGACATTCAGACACCATCCATGCAATCAACTCCAACTTACTCCTTTTTTCAGCCTCTTGGAGCCAAATTCTGCACTAAGCTACCCATCTGTAGTTTCTTATGGCGGGCCAGATCCTCAGCTCATGTAAATGATCTGATTAATTTTATTGTTTACACAGGGCTTTACAAACATCAACACCCATGACTTTGTGTGATAGCTAAGTAATATTTTCTCATTTATAGTTGGGAAATCTGAGACTGAAGTAAAGTGACTTGCTAAAGGCCTCAGAGGGAGTCAGTGTCACAGCTGAGATTAGAATGCAAAAACCTTTGCCCTCAGTCTCATATTTAGTCTCATGTTTTCAGGCTATAAAGCAGTCACTCCTGATAGACAGGTGTGAGACTGGTTGCTAAGCAGTCAGATCAATTGCAAGCAGCCATCTTGGAAGGAGTGCCATCAGCAACACCCTACCGGCCATGAATTTATCTGAAGTCCCCCAAAAGTAGAGGAAACTGGGGCCATGGTTTTCATAGTCTGTTGGGAATCAGGAACCTGATCCTTAGTAAAAATTCAGAGACTAATATTCAACCTTAGCAACGGGGTTCCATTGGCTTACCGTTCGAGGGACATCTCCCTAACAGAACAGAACTAGGGACTTTGTTTTCATTTAAAACAACTGAAAAATAAGTCACGATTAATTCCAACATTCCTCAATCTTTCAAATCAGAAGTGGGGACCACAGCAGCAAGCTTTGCAGACCTCCAGGGCCAGGTCTGATTATCCTTTATTCCTTCCAGTGGATCACAGGCTTTGCAGTATTTGGCTTGTTCACTGGCTCATACTGTTTGCTCGTTGCTGTCAGAATTGTGTGTAACCTTCAGGCATAGGATATTGGGTGCTTTCTAAAGAATACAAGGTGCCATCTAATCACATTTTGTTGTATAAATCCATGATAATGTCTGTTTTCCCCCTAGCTATGGAAGAAGGCTGTGATGCCTGTAGTGATATTTGCATAATCCAATTACTGCAAATACTTGCTTATTTATTTAGATTTATCAAAATCTCTAGTCCCCCGTCCGATGACCTGAGCGTCTGTCCCATGAATTAAAATACCCAATGCACAGCACAGTAGAATGGACTGTTGAGCACAGTAAATACATTTTCATCAGCTAATGGGATGATAATAACATAACCTGACCTCCTCCCTGAGGGTACGTCTACACTGCAGGGTTTTTCGGAAAAACTCTGCCACATCCAAGGAACACATTTGTTTTTCTGCTTTTTTTTTTTTTGCGGAAGAGCAAATGAGCTCTTTCGGGGAGCCTTGTATGTCTCATTCTATGAGGGATAAGGGTTCTGCCGGAAGAGGAGGCTTTTCTGCCATTTGTGTAATATGCATAGCTTTTTCCGAAAAAACTCCTAGGCTGTGTCTAGACTGGCAAGTTTTTCCGCAAAATCATCTGCTTTTGTGGAAAAACTTGCCAGCTGTCTGCACTGGCTGTTTGAATTTCCGGAAAAGCACTGACGATCTCATGTAAGATCGTCAGTGCTTTTCTGGAAATACTATGCTGCTCCCGTTCAGGCAAAAGTCTTTTTCCGAAAGACTTTTGCGCAAAAGGGCCAGTGTAGACAGTACAGTATTGTTTTCTGCAAAAAAGCCCCGATCGTGAAAATGGCGATCGGGGCTTTTTTGCGGAAAACCGCGTCTAGATTGGCCACGGACGCTTTTCCGCAAAAAGTGCTTTTGCGGAAAAGCATCCTGCCAATCTAGACATGCTTTTCCGAAAATGCTTTTAATGGAAAACTTTTCCGTTAAAAGCATTTTCGGAAAATCATTCCAGTGTAGACATAGCCCTATAGTGCAGACCTAGCCTCAGTGATAGGGCTTGCCCATTGGGGGCCCTAAGCTAAAATAGTCCCTCCACTCACAATACTAAAACAGGACAGTTCTTATAATAAAAAAGCAAATAGAGTAGGGATGTAAAATCCCATTTTATTGATTAACCAGTTATACATGATGTATAACTGGTTAAAGTGGGGTATGGTGGAGGTTACAGACTGGGGGTGCTTCAGCCCGGCCAGAGCAGCCCCTGCTTGCGATGCCCCTGGTCCTGCCGCAGACAGGGGCTGCTCCAGGAGACTGCCGCAGGCAGGGAACTGCTCCAGTCCTAACTGGTTAATCTTTCACATCTCTAGAATAGAGGAGGCCCCTTGAGCTTCTGGGTACCCCAAGCGATTGCTTAGTCTGCTTATGCCTCGCTTTGGCTCTGACTCAACCAACTCTGTTCCCTGAAGCCTAGGAAAAAAGGTGGGCATTGCAGTGTGCCCGTGTGCATATTGAATCCAGGCCCTGGAACACCAAGAGGGGAGTGAGTTCCAGAGTCTGGCACCTGTCTGTAAGAATGTACTGTTATTGGCTCCTTTCAATTTATATTGAAGGGACTTCTGCTCAGTTGCCTCTACTAATTTCAGAGGCAGCAGCCTGGCACAGGGGAAGAGGTAATCTCCTCCGCAACTTGGACCCTCTCTGCCTAACAAACTAACAGCTTCATTGTCTCAGTCCTACCATCCTGCAGTGGTGTGCAAAAGCCTTGTGCAAGATGCTGAGCACACTAGCCTCAAGCCAGCAAATCGCCAATGTTGTCTTCAAGTCATCATTGTCAAGTCCAAGTCAAGTCTCAAGTCACTACAGTTCGAGTCTCAAGTCTCAAAAGTCACTTTCGAGTCAAGTCCCAAGTCGAGTCTCAAGTCTTAATTTAAAAAAAGTCACGTCACTTTTGTACAAGCCATCAATATTGACATTTTCTGACAATTTTTTCAACAAGTCGATTTAACAAAATTAGCAAGTCTCAAGTCGAGTCTCAAGTCACAAACAATGAACCCGAGTCGAGTCTCAAGTCGAGTCACCTAGGCGACTTAAGTCGGACTCGAGTTCAAGTCGTGGGACTCGAGTCAACAACTCTGCAAATCATGCAAGTCCATTCGTAGCCCTGTTAAAGTCAATATTGGCACCAAAGTGCTTAGCCCTTTGCAGGATCGAGGCTAAAAAAGACCAAATGCAGGTTATTCTGCACATTCCTCTCAAACTCAATTAAGGACTCAGTTAAGAGTCCTAATAAAAACTCTAATGCTGTTCAAATGCCTAGGAGTCTCCAAAGGAAAGAGTTAATTTTCACTAGAGCAAATTAAAACAGCACATCCTTTTTGTATAGGAAAACTGTGCAAACACTTAGTGGAAAAGTACATCTAGGGGATAAAATTAGACTTGCTGCCTCGTGTTCCTGGTTGATCTGTAAAGCCCAGGAGTCTGTCTCCTGGGATGGGATGGCTCGAGGATTCTGTTGCTTTTCTTTTCCATATGGAAGACTTTTGCTTCGTCCCAGCTGAGGTATCATGTAACACTGTTGGCTCTCTAGAGGCAGATCTTGCTGCATGCTTGCAGTAGGCTTAGCTACTGTCAACATTTATATTCCATCATAATTCAGGGGCAAGCACCAATTTGCATAATCTTTAAGGTTTTGAAATTAAAAATTCCTCTAATGGACCCAAGTGTGATTGGTGCAGCTTTCTGCCTCCAGAGGCAAATCTTTTCCCAGTCTGTCTGCTGCACCAAACAGGTTATGGTCTAGAAATGTTCCTCCGCTATCCCCAAGAGTAACTTAAACTCAAGCAAGCTTGTAAACTCTTGTATGTATAGCAAAGAGATTCTGAGTTGACAATTACTACATGACAAAAATATGTCACCATTTTCTGCTCTTATTTTGTTTTGACTGCCATTTAGCTGTGTTATGCCACGTTCACTGTGTGGGCTGTAACAACTGAAAGATATTAGTAGAATGAGAAACATATACACTTCATTTCAAAGTTTCTGATGTATTCTCAAAGAAAGCAAAGGGACTAACAACTTGGTGGATCACTGATCTCTAGTTGGTTGTTCAAACTCTGGCAGTATTCACTGAGTCTGCAACTGATCACAGCAAGCCTCATGAGCTGTCTTTAAATCAAATTTTGGGACAGATTTTTATTGTGATATCGTGGGTTCAGTGGCTCAGTACCACATCAGATTATTAGAGCTGGTGGTGATTGGCTCTATTCACTCTGGAAGAGGTCACTGCAGAGGAAATAATGTTGCAGAAAGAATTTGATGGGACTTAAAGTTTGAAAATGAAGGCCAATGTTTTCAAAAGTGTTCACTGATTTTCAGTGACTCAATTTTTGGGCACCTGACTTAAAATTCTTCAGGTCTGCTTTTCAGAGGCAATGAATGCCCTCAACTCCCATTGACATCACAGTTGCTGTCAGTATCAATGAAGACTGAGCAGCATGTGTCTCACATTCAGCCCCCAAAATCAGTAGCATTGACGGTGTTTCCAGTTAAATACCACAGATATTTGCTGAAAGTTTTTGGCTTGCTAAATACAGCTGATATTCATACTGATTGGCAAATTAATTATTCAGTTTGCCTGTTCCTTGCATTGAAGCACATACTCTCATGTATGACCGAGCTTTTCAATAAAAGGTAATGCGCCATTTTTACCATCACACTAAATATATGATTCTTTTGCAGCACCATCTGAAGGAAGGAGGGAACTGTGTATTGCAGTCCATGAACTGACACATGATGACAGATGAGAGGAACAGCTACTGATGAAGTAATTTTACATGTTGTAAGTTCTGCCAGTGAATATGCTTTTACAACATGTAGAATTTTTTTCCCCTAAATGATCTCAGGTAATATACAGATTTGATTTACAGTGATAGGAACTGGGGTAGATGACTTGGTAGATGACTTGCTAGTTTAAGGTATGGAGAACAGGTACATTGTCAGGGAGAGGGACCACTGGGAGTTTAAAGATTAGCTTCTGAGTTAAAACTAATTGATACAATTTTTGATAGTTCTTTTGTAGCTGGATGAGAAAGATCCAAGAGAACTCAGATTTATCATTTATTTCCGTCTTTAATTTTAACAGAGTGCCTGAGTGCCGTCATAGCTTGCTTACATTTGCTTTTGAGGTAGTTGCTTGTTGCTTGATTAATAAATGTATAATATATTTTCTGTTGGTTTTTACTTGCTAAAGATTTATAGATCTTAAGATCAAGGTTATTTAAAAAAATCTGTCTTTGCATTTCTTAGGTGAGATGTCTCTTTCAATTTCAGATATGTCTGTTACAGATTTGCTGTTCAGATCAAGAGAGTATGCTTATTAAATAGCATGCCTGAATAGGAGATGAGACATTTTTTTGGTTTTGTGTTGCTCTGTGATTGTAAGAGAAACATATACTAGTGTGTTTAAGGCACAATTCAGCTTCCACTGAAGTCAGTGGGAATTTTGTCACTGATTTTATGGGAGCAGGACCGGGTTTGAGTTTTCCCTCCCTGGTCTTATTTGTAAAGTTAACATTGTAGCATCTTTGCCATATCTGAAAGAGTTTGGTTTTATTTTAGTTCACACATACAGAAGTCAGTATAGTGGCTCCCCCTTGCTGTTCGTTGCATTTATGAGTGACCTCATCAAGCCACAGGAAATTAGAGATGCTTTGTGATGAAGTGAAATGAGTTAACATTGAGACCATCAAATTAGTTTTTTCATTGAAGTCAACAGGGTGCCATACATGTGCAGAGAACAGCCCATACAACTGTCATTGCAGTATTGGGGCCTAGGAATCTAGTTATGATTCATGGGTGCTCTGGTGTGTTAGGATGAGTAGATGATGGAAGAGGTGTACCACTCAAACAACTGTGATGGGAAACATTATGTTTGGATAAGACAGAAGCAAACATTATATTGGGGATAGGGAGCATTTTGGGGGAAGCATGGGCAGCAGCACTATTGCTATTAGTTATTATTATTAGTTATAATTTTATTTATTTATTGACTTAGCATCCTCCTTGGCTGCCCAGACCTTTGACTTTGTGGAATAGGAATTTCAGGTAGAGAGGCTAAGAAATGCGTGAGCCATGAAGACTGAACTTCTCCTGTTATCCCGCAGGAAATTACCCCCAGATCATGGACACAGTGGAAAGGCAGGATGTGGGAAGTTTGCCCTGCTGCTGGTCTGTAGATAAACAGGACTTTATTCACTGGGGCTGTCAACACAATACATTTCACCAATATTAAATCCCACAATTATTTTGAAATGGAAATGTATGGAAATATGAATATTATTTGCAAATAAGGTTTTTAAATAATTAGCAATAATTTTCACACAACAGTGACTTCGTATCCCTTATTTCTTTTTTCAAATGGTAGCAACTCTAGGTAACTTTGAGACAAATATTTGCCCTTTGATATGCTGTCACAATTCTCTTTGACTACAATGAGAGTTGCACCTACAGGCCTGAAAACAAAATTAAACCACACAGTGTTTTAAGTATTAATAAGGCTGATATAGCAGTTTCAGCTGAGTTTAATGTTTGGGATCCCTAAATAAGTGCTTAAATAATAATAGCATGAATTAAAAAAGATTGGTAAACCAAGTGCTTCAGCACTATCTTTTTACTGCACAGTCTTCCCACTGCAAGTACAAAAGCAATGTCTTCTGCAGCACCTGCTGTCTGAAACAGCCTCTGGTATCTCTCTACCTTTATCTCTACAAATCTCTGCCAAAAGCCTATCTTTTTCCCTCTTATCTATGCCCGTTGTCTCCCAAAGTGTTATGTAACTTTGTAAGTATATTAACTCTGTAGTGTGTAGCAAATAATGTATGAGAGAGATCCAAATATTTTTGTATTTTTCCACTGGCTTGTTATTTCCTTATGTATTAATTTACAGGATGGGGCTGAAGTAATACCAGAACTAATTCTATCAGTGTACTTCAGTGCCTTACCAATGGAAATGCCATCAAATGAGATGTCATTGTATTAGGCCCCTTGAATGGTTCTTAGAGGCTGAAAACAAACACGCAAATTCTAAAATATTTGAGCTCAACTTTGGTTTCCCGTGAATATCAAGAAGCTTGAATTCCTAAGGCTCATGCACGCATAGACTTGCAGCTTTTGTGAACAAAACTACAGCCTCACTCTGATTTCAGAGTGTATAATGCATGGTGCTCCCTGTGGCTCGGAGAGGCTAACAAAACAGGGGCTGTATGTATGTAGTTGGGTTGTACAGTTACAAGAGGGAAACCAGAGCACAAGAGAACCTTTTCTATTTGCATGTACTCCTAATTGGTGTGGAGCCAAGGACTGCCAACGTGAATTACCTATAGGCCAGTGCCACCACCAGTTCACTAGCTGAATGTGGAGGGTATTTTGAGCCTGTGGCAGATAGAGCTGCTATGGCGTCGGTGGTGGATGCCTTGGCCTATTGTGGGACAAAGGAACTGTGTGGCCTGTGGCGGGTGCTGAGGGCCCATGGCTGGGTAGGGTGGCTGTGTGGCCTGTGGCGGGTGCGGAGGGCCCGTGGCTGGGTAGGGTGGCTGTGTGGCCTGTGGCGGGTGCGGAGGGCCCGTGGCTGGGTAGGGTGGCTGTGTGGCCTGTGGCGGGTGCGGAGGGCCCGTGGCTGGGTAGGGTGGCTGTGTGGCCTGTGGCGGGTGCGGAGGGCCCGTGGCTGGGTAGGGTGGCTGTGTGGCCTGTGGCGGGTGCGGAGGGCCCGTGGCTGGGTAGGGTGGCTGTGTGGCCTGTGGCGGGTGCGGAGGGCCCGTGGCTGGGTAGGGTGGCTGTGTGGCCTGTGGCGGGTGCGGAGGGCCCGTGGCTGGGTAGGGTGGCTGTGTGGCCTGTGGCGGGTGCGGAGGGCCCGTGGCTGGGTAGGGTGGCTGTGTGGCCTGTGGCGGGTGCGGAGGGCCCGTGGCTGGGTAGGGTGGCTGTGTGGCCTGTGGCGGGTGCGGAGGGCCCGTGGCTGGGTAGGGTGGCTGTGTGGCCTGTGGCGGGTGCGGAGGGCCCGTGGCTGGGTAGGGTGGCTGTGTGGCCTGTGGCGGGTGCGGAGGGCCCGTGGCTGGGTAGGGTGGCTGTGTGGCCTGTGGCGGGTGCGGAGGGCCCGTGGCTGGGTAGGGTGGCTGTGTGGCCCGTGGGTGGGGAGGGGGGCCCATGGCAGGGTAGGGTGGCTGTGTGGCTCGTGGCGGGTGTGGAGGGCCCGTGGCTGGGTAGGGTGGCTGTGTGGCCCGTGACGGGGCAGGACGGCTGTGTGGCCCGTGAGGGGGCTGTGTGGTCTATGGCAGAGCAGGGGGGGGTGTGGCCGGGGGGGGGGGGGGG